ACCCTTTTTCTTTTTGTTATTTATATTTGGAGGAGCATTTTCAAAATGTCATGTTTAATTCAATGTGTTATCTGCCATTTCTTTGTAATTATTTGTGAAATTTACTAGCAATTTGTGAGTGAAAATGTTATTTTTTTCTATTGCAGCACAAATAGTGTGTGATTGAAATATGAGATGAGAAAAAAAATAATAATTTCAATGCTTTTGTGTTTTTTTCCCCCCACAATTTTTTTGTGTTTGTTTGCTAAACTAGTGATGGAAACAATGTGAGGTGGGAGGAAAAACTACTCTTATGAGTGAATGCAAAGTTTCTCAGGGGAACACACAAAAAAGGGTTATTTATCCATCACCATGCCTGCTTAGAGAATCTCTAAATTACTAATAAAATAGACAGAAAGAAAGAAAGAGAGAGAGAGAGAGAAACACCCCACATCTCTTCCTGTTTATCTCAATTAAACACAACTAGTTTCTGTCACTCTAATACTATTTTCTATATTTTTTGCTGCTCTCTCTCTCACCTTTTGTTCCCTCCATGTCCTTCTTTCAAACAACAGCACCCCATCCTTCGAGCTGGTCTCCATGGCTACAATTGTTCTACTTCTTTTTAATACCATCACTCTCACTTTCAGTTAAACAAGACACTCTCTCACTTTCAGTGTTTCCTCTTTCTCGTTCGCTCTCGCCTTGAGACTTCTCAAACCTCAGGGGTGGTTTAGAGGTTACACAGTTTCATTTCATTCTCCTCCCACTATCAGATTCCAGAGAATCGGTGAATTCTATAAAAGAGAGAGGGAGAAACAGAGAGATCTATTGCGTCCCGGTGGTCAGGGCTTATGTAACAGCTCTCTGAGGTATTAGTGCTAGCTTAGCATATTCATGCCGCACTTGAGCTGATGTAGGATTCCAAATCAGTATTCACAGCGAGCGGCACATGCAGCATGGCCACGCCAGCACACAGCATATATGGAAATCGCCCAACAGTTTCTGACAGCGAGCACGCTGTGCTTCACACTGGAGAGAGAGGGAGAGAGAGAAAACATTTATAGCATATTAGCAGGAAATTAAACCACAAATGATCATATGAGGGTGAACAGAATGGATGAACAGAAAGACAGACAGATAAAGACAGAACAACAGGCAGATAGACAGAAGTGATAGACAGACAGATAAAATATACAGAACAATATATGGAACAACAGACAGAAAGACAGAACAATAGAACAACAGACAGAATGATAGATGGATAGATAGAAAGATAGACAGAATGAAAGACAGACAGACATACAGACAGATTGATAGACAGAATAGATGATAATATATAGATAGATAGACAGACAGACAGACAGAATTCTTTTTCAGAATTGTGTTTAAAATTCATTTTTTGAAACCTGTTCAACAGGTAAATCAATGGGCAGTCAAAAAATTATGCGCATTTTCATAAACTGGTAATTTCTCTGTTTTTGGTGATGAGTAAACATGATGAACAGCAGCAAATATTCACAGCTTCATTAGCACAATGTGTGAATGTAATGTGAGAGCGCTTTGAGAAGTCATGATAAAATGTGTTTTATTACACAAATAGACTAAATGACACACTTGTGTAAAAATGAACCTGTAGAGGAAGAGATGGGTCTGAAAAAACTCCATGTGCAGAACTTACTATAAATGCTTATCGCACAAACCCGTCCTGGGTCAGAGCGGATGTCTTTATTTGTGTCTGAAATCCTTCTCTATGGAGCGCCAGTGTATATATATATATATATATATATATATATGATAAATAAATAAATATTGCTGAATTAGTACCAGGAAGAGTAACAAATACAATAATAACTCAAATAAAATTAAATAAAAAAAGTTAAAGATTGGCTTTGGTGGGTCAATAAAGTTACTTGTGAGATGAGTGCAAAATGAATGCATATATTAATGCAAATATAATATATTTGTCTGCAATATGCTTCAAAAAGCAGTAAAGTTTGATCTAATATTTTGATTGATTTGATATATGCAGGTTTATATAGCCTACCTGATTTTCCTTCAGAAGTGTTCAGCTGACCTACTTTAGATGTTCCATCATAGAAAAAAGATCCCACAGCCGTTCAGTACAGACCATTCCTGAAAGAGAGAAATCGGTCATCCATTTTCACCCTCTTTCGAGTCACAGAGACCCCAGACTCTGACCCTGGACAGTGTTGTAATTATTGGCCACTTTTTTCCCCATGCACTTTTCTAAAGATGCGAAGAAAAAAGCAATTTTGAGATACAATAAATACAAAACATTGCTCTGATTCACTACATTCAGACTAGAATGTGGCACACGAACAAATAAAGAAAGAAAACAGAGTGTGAGAGAGGGAATAGAAAAAAAACAGTAGAAAAAAGACACAAAGTTGTATTGTGTTTAAAGGGTTAGTACACCCAAAAATGAAAATTCTGTCATTAATTACTCACCCTCATATCGTTTCAAACCCGTAAGAAATTTGTTCATCTTCGGAACACAATTTAAGATATTTTTGATGGAATCTGAGAGCTGTCTGACCCTGCATAGACAGCAATACAACTGAAATGTTCCCAAACCCAGAAACGTAGCAAGGAGATCTGTAAAATAATCCATGTGACATCAGGGGTTCAACAGTAATTTTATGAAGCTACGAGAATACTTTTTGTGCGCAAAAGAAAAAAAAAATATCTGGCAATATTTTGAGGCAGACAATAGGTAGTGACAGAAATGTCCAAATGTACCTTTTTGAAGATGTTTTTCAGCTTGATAGGACGACATTTTTCCAGGTCCCTTGCAGCCTTGTGGTGATGGTGTAATCAAATGTAGTAGCAGACAAATTGATGCAATATGACAACTTCGGCAAAAAATGCATTAACACAGAATATACTGTAGATAATGCATGAATATAGATAATCTTATTCTGAAATAGAGTCTAACCTTAAACATCGGTTTCATCCTCCTTTACAGCTGATTCCGAGGTCAATCGTGCATGTCCTTAAAGGTCTTGGGAGAAGTAAGGAACTTGGCTTCTTGGAAGAAAAAAACAAATTGTTATCACAACAATATCTCTCTGGAACCATTCTGCTAAGTTGATTGTGTAGTCACACAGTGGCTCTGTTCACACCTGGCATTATCATGCATCTTGGGTGATGCACAAGTGAACAGACACAAGACGCATATGGCAACATTCTTTTTTTTTTACAGGGTTAGTTCAAAAATGAAAATTCCATCCTTTGCGCAGCCAAGACTTTCATTATCTTTGAAACTCAATTGAAGATATTTTAATAGAATATAAGATTTCTGTCCCTTGAATTACGGTCCAATCAAGTCTCTTCAGAAAATTATTATTTTTTAAATCCTTTTTCAATAGAATTGGTCCAGACTTCTGCAGTGTCAAGTGAAGGAAGCTCCTCTCATAAGATTGCAAACTGGGAGTCTGATGACACTGAGTGTGAGTGATGGAAGCCCTTCAAGAAAGGAGCAGAATGCTGAAAAAGAAGCCAGAATTGTAAGTCTGTGTCATTTATATGTTATTCTATGTGCAGTAGAAAAATTGAAAACACACAAATGAATATGACAAAATAAAGTTTAACTGGGCAGCCACACAATATTATCTGCTTATGTTCACACCTGGAATTTACTAATTATCCATTTATCAAACTGCAAAAAGATAAATGGTTAGTTGACCCAAAAATTAAATATTGTCATCATTTCTCACTCTCGGTCATTCCAAACCTGCAAGACTTTCATTCATTTTCTAAACACAAGAGAAGATATTTTAAATGGAACCTGAGAGATTTCTGTCCTTCCATCGATAGTCTTCTACACAACTACCACTTTGATTCTTCAAGAAGTTCATAAGCATTCAAGAGATCATAAAACTAATTCAAATGTATTGAGCGGTTTAGTCCAAATTTTCTGAAGAGACTTGATGGCTTTATACAATGAACAGATTGAATTTTTTATTTTTCACATTTAAACATTGATCAGGGAACATAAACAGAAAAACAGAACATTTGGACTAAACCACATGATATGTATGGATTAGTTCTCTTTATGGATTAGATCTCTATTATTATGTCGCAAATAACTGCAATTGCAGATTTCAAACAGCTTTAAAATTTTGAATTTGGTTTTATTTTTATATTTTCTGTTTCGATTTTAATTTCAGTTAAAGTTTTACTATTTTACTGTGTGCTTTGTCATTTTTTTTTTAAATATGTCTATATTGTTCTTTTTTTCTTCTTTTTTTTTCAGTTTTAGTTTTAGTTATTGTTGTAGCCTATATTGTTGTAGTATATTGTTGAATCTAGTTATTGTATTGTATCCAGCAAGTTAAACTAAATCCAAATGAGAAATGTTGCCTTGGCTATATATACAGTATATATATATATATATATATATATATATATATATATATATATATATATATATACATATATATATATACAGTATATATATATACACACACACATGAAACACTCTGCACACCCTCGCAACCACAACCACTAAATCAACCATCATGCCATGGTGTTTTAAATGAGAAAGCACCACTCTTTTTTTCCCCCCCATGTATGTACATTTCACAATAAATTTTTTTCAAATGATTCGTTCAAACGGCTGATTCATTCAGGAACGAAGCAAGTGACTGTCTTTATGAATGGGTCATTTAATCATTGACTCACTAGATTCCTTCAAAAATGCAGATCATTGAATCAGCATCAGCAGAGGAAATAGTCAGGCTGTCATATATACATATATATATATACAGTATATATATATACACACACACACACACACACATGAAACACTCTGCACACCCTCGCAACCACAACCACTAAATCAACCATCATGCCATGGTGTTTTAAATGAGAAAGCACCACTCTTTTTCCCCCCCCCATGTATGTACATTTCACAATAAATTTTTTTCAAATGATTCGTTCAAACGGCTGATTCATTCAGGAACGAAGCAAGTGACTGTCTTTATGAATGGGTCATTTAATCATTGACTCACTAGATTCCTTCAAAAATGCAGATCATTGAATCAGCATCAGCAGAGGAAATAGTCAGGCTGTCAGGTTATGCAACAGACAGCCAACTCATTTCAGTTCTTTAAAAAGCAGCATCGAGAACAGCAGTGCTGACAGACTCACAGGCTTTTTTGAGAGAGGAACAAGCTATAAATCATGGTGAGTCGTTCTTGTTGTCAATCAAGGAAATGTAACTGAACGTAAAACAAAAGAAAGAAAAATTATTCAAGTAGCAGTCAAGCTTGTTTTATTAACATGACAACTTATGGTTTTTAAGTGAAAGAATTTAAATTCAAGGGATTACAGAAGAGTTGACAGAAGTCATGTTGATTAACCATAATTATTGAAAACATCTACAGCTGGTATTATTGTTAATTACATATAATTCACATTCATGGTCATTTTAATGCCAAATTTATTTATATAGCAAATCAGAATTTACCAAAGTGCTTTACAATAATGAAAAAGGGCTAAAGTACAATATTAATAAAATAAAGTGCTAATTAATAGAAAGAGCAAATACTAAATCATTTAACAAATTCTCTACGAATAAATTATCTGTAATCATACAGACTGTATCAGGAATATACTGCCAGTTTTTATTATTAAAGATGTGAGATCATAAAAAAAACTTGAACATGATTTTGTATTTAGAGCTTTAAAGCAGAAGATTACATATCTAAAAGGCACTACCTAATAATTTTAAGTCTTAACATTTTATAATAAACAACTTTAGCAATTTTCTTTGGTGAATCAACTTATTGTTCATTACAAACCTATTGCTTGTTAAAGCATTGCCTATAACCTCAAAATGCTACACTTCCTGTCCTCATCTACGCATTTAAAAATACTGATTTCAAACCACAGCTGGGTTATTTCTTTTCTTGCTGCATGTTTTACTGTGCTTATCTGCACGTTCCTCTCTATAATCTACATAAAGTACAGTGGCCTAGGAAGTATATTTACATATATATTAAAAAAATGTCATTATCATTGCATTAGATAACAAGATATCACAACATGTGGTATTTATTCTGCACAAAAAGCACATTTTCCAAGGTAAATGACAAGGTAAAGTTTGTTCTTTAAATAAAACAATAGATACACTGTTCATCAAAATGTATTTGTATACTTTCTGGTTGTGAAACGCCAGTGGAACCTGCTTATTAATATGATTAAATACAACCCACTTCTAACTTCATATATCCACCAAAACAACTAAAAGATACCGACCAAAATAGTTATGAGAAAAGATGCTGCAGCATTTGTTTGACACTTGCTTTGAGATCTAATCTAATTCAAAAATGAGCAGAAATAATGACAAAAAAGTGAAGTTAGTGTCGGAAAATAGCTTACCCTGCAGCATTTGAGCTCGTGCATTTGAATATTTTGCGTGTAATAATGACATTCAGATATTTTCAGTGCAGTCTGACTGTACAAATGTTGTTGTGATGTTTTTAAAATTGTGAAACCTCTGCAAGCAGCTTCCTTACTTAAATGACCACTAAGCCTTTGCGCAATCTCATTGGCTCTCTTTTAGGTTGACTATAACTGCAGTGTGGTGTTGAACCACACAGACGCAGCGTTCAGACTGTTTGAACGTGCGGCCTACATACCTGTCTTCATAGTGGGCCTTTCCTTCAACATCACGGCTCTGTGTATCTTCTGTCGCCTCAAGCGCTGGACAGACATGCATATCTATATGTTCAACCTACTGGCTGCCGATTTCCTGGCCATTATTTTCCTACCTTTCAGAATATTAGAAGCCTTCTGCCCAATAAAACCGAGTGAATTGTGTACATTCCTGCTGTGCACCCAATACTCCAACATGTACAGCAGCATCTTCACCATTACAGCCATCAGCATTCACCGATTTATAGCCGTCAGGTTTCCGTTTCTGACCAAAGCACTGGCCTCCAAAAGTAAGACGATTGCCATTTCAAAGTGCATCTTCATCTGGGTGATCGTAGCGGTGATCTGTGTTATTAACCAGAAAGACCTCGTCAAAGAAAAATTAGAGACCTGCTATGACCGAATACTGGCAAAAAAGCTCCAAAACCACTTTATCTTGCTTTTAGAGATTTTAGGGTATCTTATTCCAGTGCTCGTCGTCATATTTTGCTCCACACAAACCATCTACATCCTGGTCAGATCCCTTCGGAATGTCCAAGGCAGGGATAGAGCGGAAAGGAAAAAAATTGCTGCTGTTATCACCGCGAACATGTTCACATTCATAGTTTGCTTCACACCTGTTCATATTGGTCTTTTGTTGCAGTTTTTATCAGATGATTCAGGCAAAGACTTTGTGCACGTGTTTCTGGATGTTGCCGAGTGGATCGCTATTACAAACTGCTGTCTGGATTCTATTGGCTATTACTTTCTGCTGAAAAGAGTTAATAAAATAAACAAGAGATCACATTGAATGGTAAATGTTAGCTAAAATAGAATCTGTTGATCTAGATTAGATTGAGGCAAGTCCCTGTTATATGTGAGAAACACAATATAATAAAGGCTGGTTTACATAAGACTGTCTACCCTTACAAAACATTAGTCTTAGCATGGTTGCAAGATTTACCACGATCATAATGGAAATAAAATAGTATCATGGTAGGCCTTTAAATAGTGGCATGCGAAAGTTTGGGAACCCGTTGCAGAATCTGTGAAAATGTGAATAATTTTAACAAAATAAGAGAGATCATATAACATGCATGTTCTTTTTTTATTTAGTACTGTCCTGAGTAAGATATTTTACATAAAAGATGTTTACATTTAGTCCACAATAAGAAGAAAAAGCTGACATTATTCAAATAACCCCATTCTAAAACTTTTGAACAGGATGAAGATGTACAAATTTTACTTCTTTTGTTGAAATATCTAAGTACAATTAATGAAGTGCAATTTACCCTGATCTTCAAATTCAAAAAGTTTTCACCCCCCCAGTCACTGCTGGAAAGGGTTAAAATATGCAAAAGATGCAGGAAAACTGAAGAATCTGCAGGAGGTGGAGGATTTTTCTGAAGAACAGCAGGCAGTTGAACTGTTCAGAACAAACAAGGGACTCGTGAGCAACCATCACAAAACAAAAAAACAGTCATGGATCATCCAGGTAACCACACACAGTATTAAGAACCAAGGGTTCCCAAACTTTTCAATGGGGTTATTTTAATAATTTCAGCTATTTGTTTTTCTTGTGGACTAAATGTAAACAAATTTTAAGTAAAATATCTTACTCAGGACAGTACTAAATAAAAAATAACATGCATTTTGTATGATCTCTCTTAGTTTGTTAAAATTATTCATATTTTCACAGATTCTGCAAGGGGTTCCCAAACTTTCATATGCCACTGTAAGTACCGTGGTACCACTGCAGTATGTTCCTGTTTTTGACTGTTAATTTCAGAAATATATATATATATTTTTGTATTTTAAAGGGATAGTTCACCCAAAAATTAAAATGTGATGTTTATCTGCTTACCCCCAGGGCATCCAAGATGTAGGTGACTTTGTTTCTTCAGTAGAACACAAACAAAGATTTTTAACTCAAACCGTTGCAGTCTGTCAGTCATATAATGGAAGTGGATGGGAATCACGGCTTTGAGAGTAAAAAAGAACATACACAAACAAAACCAAATTAAACCCTGCGGCTCGTGACGATACATTGATGTGTAAAGACACGAAACGATCGGTCTGTGCAAGAAACTGAACGGTATTTATATTGTTTTTTTACCTCTGATGCACTGCAATGTCTGAACTTTCCTGAGCGGTCCTCGACAGCCGGTGCGTGACGCGTCTTCTTCTTGCTTTACGGCGGATCGCAGACTTATAAATGCATTACCGCCACCTATCTCTCAAGTGGACCATTGACACGCTATCTACAATCTCAATTAGGAGTGTCAATGGTCCATTTGAGAGATAGGTGGATAGGATAGATTTTCATTTTTGGGTGAACTATCCCTTTAATATATTTTTGCAATTTTATAAAATGTCTGAATAATAATCCTCTGCACTTATTTATTTGTGCCCATAATTATTTTCATGATGAAGAGAATACATAAATGTTGTAATATTGCATAAATAAAAGTACTACATTATATTATATTATATTATATTTAGTTAACACTCAGCAAATTATTTTATCCAAAGTGACTTTGATCACATGCAATTTTTCAAATGAGCAAAATCATAAACACGCGTACACACACATATATGATTTATGGTTGATTTTATTATTATGAATTATTGTATTACGTAGTATAATTAATACATTATGTATATATATATATATATATATATATATATAGTCGCACGGAACGAGGAGACACGGCGATAGCTTCAAACCACAGTCTTTTAATAATCCAAACACAAGGGGTGCATAGGAGACACAGGAACACATAGATTGACGTTCAGAACCCACAAACACTGACTGAAAGGACTAGGCCTAGGGCTTTTAAACATAAGATAATTGGGGGAAGAACTAGACACACCTGGAATTAAATTAACACAATCAACGGGAGACAGAAACTGGGTCACAGGGAGCAAAAACACACACAGACAGGTCCATAACCCTGACAATATATATAATATAAATAAATATAATTTATATATATTTACCTTCATACATTTTATTATTACTTTGAATGTATTGTTATTTTATAATTGAATATTTGTATTTATTAAATAGAAAATGTTTATTCTTTTTAATAAAATATATGTATACCATGAATGTAGCACACAAATATTAATAATAAAACAAACAATCAATCAAACAAATAAATAAACAAGACATTTCTACATCTGTAATTTTTGCAGGGTTGGTTCTCTTGCCATAATCAGCAGGCCTTTAGCTCTAAGCAAACGGTTTGCACGAGATGTCATTTAAGCTTAAACTGCTCTCTAGTGGTCATCTAGTGTATTTGTCACATGCGTTGTCTGCAGTCTGGTGCACATACAGTAATTTGGCATGTGACAGTACGTATAGCGACCCTATTATCACATGAACCGAAAATTGGCCCAGTGTTAAATACCTCATAAGAGTGGAGAATGGGCTACTAAAAACCTCTAATATACTGCCATGTTGTTTTGAAATGTTAACATAATAATACATATATTAATAATTAATATAATATGTAATAATATAATATAATAAGTACCTTAATGAAAGTAAATATCAATGTATATAATACAAAGTTCCACAGAAGCCTACTATTTCAGGCAGCTCAGTAGTTTTTGCGACAGCTTTAGCTCTGTCTGTTTAGTCATGTTGAGAGAAAATGTTGCAGTTTGTTTTGATGCTTTTCCCATTTTATTATAATTGCGGTATTTTAAGAGATGATGGATTGAGTAATTAGAAAAAAACAGCACATCAGATTGTACACACAATGTAACGTTTTTGGTACAAACTATTACACCTTTGACTTATTTTTATTTTTTAAAACCCATTAAGAAGCAAAGGACATAAATGAGTCAAAATAAACTGCATTGATGCTAAATGCCTGATGTAATTGATATGTTGATGTGTCTAATTAACTTCCAAGTAATGATCCTTCAAAACAACTTCACTTTAGTCTTCAGATTGCACAGATGTTGCTATGGTGACATGGTTCTCCATAGCAACAGAGAGATGCTGTGTGAAATTTCAATGTGCGTTCTGGAGGGTGCCGTGCAAATGAAGGAAACAACAACCTTTCTAACTGATGATCATGTATATATTAATTAGCTAGATATATGCTCTAGTCATGCTCAGATACTCACACTTTTTAATATCAATAGGATGGCTAACAAACAGTTAAAGGTAGTACCAGTGAGGGACTGAGAGATTGTTTACAGTACATAATGATGTCAAAGATTTTAATATGTTTTTTAATCGTCTTTGATACCAAATTTGATAGTTTTATCAGCAGAATGTAATAAGACAAACCAACTAAAACCATAAAGCATCACTGAATGCGGTCAAATAAATGTCTAATACTTACTAGTGTTTGTGCTGTTGTTTTCCTTCCAAAATGATGTTACTTCCTGGAGGATGATGCCATTGAGAACTGCTTTTGTGAAAGGGATTGTACAAAAGACTAACAGGATGGAAATGATAAAATGGGATATCAATAATCCTAAAAATCTTATTATCAGTGAAAACAATATACCAAACCATGCCTTTGAAAATAAACATTACCATTGCCAGTTTTGATTTAGAAATACATCGAGACAAAATGTAAAAAGTGGCAACATCTACTCAAACCAAAGTAGTGAAATGATTTTTAAAAAAATTGCTCCTATGTTTAATTAATTTTGTGAAACTGGATGTATAACAATTTAAACACTATGGTGCATGAATGAGATAATCGCACAAGTACCATGGTATATATACCATGGTGCCACCACTGTATGTTACTTTCAGTCAGTCAGTTACTTTTGGAAAAAATGCATTTATTTTTGTATGCAATATTTTGGATTGCAATAATTTTCAATATATTTTGATTTAGAAATACATTGAGCCATGGCAAAAATTGCAACATCTGCTTAAACTAGCGAAACTTCACTCCTACATGTTCAATTAACTGTGATTTTGTGAAAAGTGTAAATGAACTAATATGATTTCCATCTTTTAAAATTGTGAATTAAATATTTTATTCAAAATGAGACGTACAAGATGAGGACAATGAAAATTTATTTTATTTTGCATGGCATAAAGTGATGTACTACTTTGATTAATGATCAATATAGACTCTTTTTATAATTAAAAATGTTATTTTGAAAGAAAATTCATTACATGCTAACCTTCTGCTGGTTGAAATAATCTCTAACGTAGGCTAAGGTTAGGAGCTAACCTATACGGGTGTTGCATAGTGATCTACAGTAGCCAGCAAAAGTCTGTTTTATAATTAACAATACAATGTCTTGGGCAACTGGCACCTATATAACTCTTTATAGGGATCCTTACTGCAAAATGAGAGTAGCATTGTGTCTTTAATTCGGATGACACATTTAACAGAGACATAGATCAAACAATCAAATGTGTTTATTAGAATGATAAAATCTCCATGTCGATTTACGTTTGAAAATAAGTGTGTGCTCCAGTACTGAGTCGTGTGTGTTCATGTGTGAAACTGGGTGTATATGTGTGTACTTCTATACATGTGAGATTCTTTAAAAACCAAGAAACGATCAAAACAATTTGCACTGGATACCACCCCTGGACTTCTATACACAGGGACATTACATCATCGCCAGCGGAGGGGTGGAAATCAGGATTTGAGCTATGTACAGAGCAGCTGAGTCTAGGTAAACAACTCAACGTAACACTGATTCAGTCTTGCCCTTCGTGTTGAAGGCAAATCTGTGTCACCATGATATACACTTACAAAATGCCAGTTATCAAGAGCTCAAGAATCCTGCTTCAACATTTGCAAAGTCTGTGGCAAACAA